ATTTTTTGAGAAGGGCGTCAGAGGTGACAGTTCATATCACAGACCAAGATAAATCCTTTCACTTTCAAATTTGTAGCAATCACATTATTTTTAAAAGCAGATAAACTCCATTTTGCTGATACCAACAGAGAAAAATCATTTAGCTTTTGTTTTCAGAACCTACTATTTTTTTATATTTACATATTAAAACTTAAGTTTTCTTTCCTACCTATCGTCATATCCACTTAGTTACTGATAATATTTGGATATCTGGTAGGATTTGTGTGTGTGTGTGTGTGTGCGTGTGAGAGAGAGAGAGAGACAGGAATGCAGAGAGAGGGAGGGCAGAGATCTCCTGGCTGCTGGTTCACTCCACAAATGGTTACCACCTCCAGAAGTGGGCTGGTCTGAAGCTAGGATCCAGAAAATTCTTCCAGATCTCCCATGTGTTTGGGCCATCCTCTGCTGTTTTTCCAGGCACATCAGCAGGAAGCCGGATTGGAAATGGAGCAGCTGGGATTCAAACCGGCACCCGTATCAAAGGCTGATGCTGCAGGCAATGGCTTTGCCTGTGATGCCCGGGGCTGGCTCCCTCTTATTTCTTAAAAAAAAAAAAAATTCTTCATGTTGGATTATCTTGCTAGTTTAATTTTCTAATGCACTTACAGTTAAATTTTATTAAGGTCAGTTAAATTTTGTTGCGCTAAAAAAAGTTATAAATAACTGTGAAAATTGACTTTAGAAAAACAATAGTCTATCCACTTAGGATTAAAGCATATGTGTCCTATTAAGTTTTCTTTTAAATCTCCTATTCATTCTAATAATTGTCTTTACACCTATCATGATTTTGTAGAACAAAACTGCCAAATATTGTAGAATTTTATTGCTAATGTGAATGTCATCTTTTATGTTTCTAACTCTACATTTATGCTCCAATTGATTTCTGCACTATTTACTTATTCATTGCATCTTTAAAAAAAAGATTTATTTTTATTTGAAAGGCAGAGTTTGGAGAGGAGAAACTGAGAGATCATCCATCTGCTGGTTGACTCGTCAAATGACTGCCTGAGTTGGGCTGACCCGAAGCCAGAAGCCGGCAGCATCCTCTGGGCCTTGCACATGGTACAGGGACCCAAGACTTGAGTCATCCTTTGCTGCTTTCGCAGGACACAAACAGGGAGCTGAAGAGAAAGTGAGGCAGCCAGGACTACAGCTGGTGTACATATGGAATGCTGACACTGTAGGTGGAGGCTTAGTCTACCATGCCACGTCTCTGGCCGACTCACTTCACTTTAGATGTATTTTAAAACTTTTATTTTACTTGATGGGTAGAGAAAGAGAGGACAGAGCAATCTTGTATCCACTGACGCATTCCCCAAATGCTTGCACATGGGTAGTAGGGGTTCACGTAGTTGTATCGTCTGTGGTCCCGGACAGTCAGCATTAGCAGGAAGCTGGAAGAGGAAGGGAGGCTCGGACTAAAGGTAGTCTGATATGGGATGCTGGTGCTGTCTGAAACCTTGTGCCAAATACCCAGCCCTCCCCATTAATGTTACTCAACACATAGTGTAGTAGTTTGAAAACAAATGTGGCTTTTGAGAGCATATAAAATCATTTATAAATGCTGTTCTATCTTCCTTTTCAAAAATTAAAGCTCATATTCTTGTAACATTTACTGGATAGAACATCTAAGGTCTAATAATGCATGTTAATAGAGGTTATTTCTGTTTTATGTTTAGCATTATAGGAATGGGGTCAAGTTTTAATGGAAGCATTTTTAAAGTGTGTGGTCTTGTAAATCTGAAGTTTTTATCCAAGATATGACTGAGCTTTTCTCAATGAATTTCTTCATCCCTAAATGAAGGAATTAGCCCAGATTAGTGTTTTTCATAATTACTAACAGCCACAGCTAGGCAGGCAAGGGAGGTGGAACTGAAAAGTTTCAGTGCTAAAACAAAAAAAGAAAACTTTTAGATGAGAATTTGATACATATGCCCTTTTAAAGTCTTTTCCACCTCAAAGTTCTATATTCAAGTCCGATTAATCTTGGTTTCAACAATGATATAAATATTATTTCCCAATTTTAAAAAATGAGGGAAAACAGGATAAAAAATGGTATAGGCAATTAATTGTTCAAGACATATAAAAAACAAAAGACAGGGAGGACATCTCTTGTAGCCAGCATTGTGCGTACAATGTAAAATGTGTTCAGTAAGTATTTATTAAATGTCTGCAACAAAACAGATAAAAATGTTCTCATTTCTAGTTGGGTAGGATGAAACAGATATGCATCTCATCTTTACCCTTTCACATTATTCTACAATGACAGTATGTGGCGGATACTGAGGAGTAAATATGCTAGCGAATCGATGTTTACTACAACTATGAAAACAGGTTCATTATCTTCTTTTTATTGTTGTATATGGTAATAGTGTTTTTAGCTACCTTGTTTTATTTTTTAAGAATTTTATTTATTTTGTAAGAATGGGGACTTAGGGGGAATCCCTTTAAACAAATCTTTTCATTAATTTGAAAGGTGGAGAGATAACAAAACGTGGAGAAGGATCTTTCAGCCACTGGTTCACTCTGCAGCTGTTGGCAACAACCAGAACTGCAGAGGCCAAGGCCAGGAGCCAGGGACTCAAGTCCAGTGTCTCATAAGGATGGCTGGGACCAGATACCCGAGTCAAATTCTGCTCCCCGGGGTGTGCACAGTTGGATCGGAACCAGAGGAGCTGGGATTCAGAGTAGCTACTCCGAGATTAGTTGTGGCCATGCCACACTGCACATTAACATCTCTACCACACGCCTCCTACTGTTTTGTTTTTGATTGCTACCTAAGTGTACATATTTAATGAGTATAATGTGATGTTCTGATACATGTATACATAGCGTAATGACCGTAATTAGCACAACTATCACCTCAAACAATTTACCATTTCATTGTGGGGAGAATATTAAAACAAATCACCCTATGGTGCAGCAGAACACCAAGACCCACTCTTCCTAGTTACCTAACGCTGTTCCCACTGACCGACTCCACACCCCGCTGTGCACACACCCATACACTCCTCTCCTCACCTTCTATTGCATTTTCAACTCAGATCCACTGTTTTTTCTTTTATTATTTTATTCCATATATGAACCTGATTCTAACATGAGTGTCTTTCGGTGCCTGGAATTTTTCATCTGACAGAATTTCCTCTACGTCCATTCACGTTGTTAGAAATGACAGGATTTCGACCTTGTAAAAAGCCTCAGTGGTCTCCCTCTCACCCGCTGGACAGCCGGGCGGCTCCCACCCGTTGCTGTTGGGAGCAGCTCCGTGGTCACAGGGAGCGCAGAGGTCTCTTCAACAGACAGTGGGATGTTGTTTGGGTCCATGTGTTGCAGTAGGCTTGCTGGATCACAGGATATTATCTACCCTTCTCAATCTAGACTTTTTCCTCTTACCTTGCATGGAAACAGCAAACGAATCTTAAATTTCCTCTATAAAGCTCTTGTTACATGATTTTACTCAGACAGTGTCTCTACATATGAGTCTTAATTTTTTGGCTCACAGAAAGAAAAAAAATGGAGTTTTATCCAACCCTGATTCCTATGAATTTGCAAGAGGACTATCCATTCTTCTGGTGTTGACTCTTGCAAGAATACATGGGAATGCTCTGCTTTTTGCCTATTTAAATACTGTTCAAAGTTAGCTTCCTGAGATCTCTTTAGAACATTCTGGTTTTCAAGAATCTTACCTGCTGTATTTCCTTTGGTTCCCAACTCCATGCCATGTAATTTAATGTCTGATCATGTGATGTGTTAGAGCTTTGCGCACCAATGAGCTTACAACCTCCGATGACCAACAAAAAAGTCTGCAACTCCAACTGACATCACCCGTTGTCTTCACTCTCTCCCTAGAACTAGCGCAGTAGCATGGACCTCTAGTAATTCATAAACCACTTTTGCATGAAAAGGAAGCCACGTGAGAGCCAAATGTCACAGCCAGAGCTGCAGGTAGATGCAATCAGGCCTTCCAATTTAGTTTTTCTAACTTTTCACAGCAAATTCCAGATTATCCTATATATTTCCATTTAAAAATAAATATTGTTAACACCATTGGGCAAGTAAGACATATGGCAATATAGAATGCTTTGGTAGCACTATGGCTGTGACTTAAATTACTGTGGATCAAACTGCCAGAAGCTGAGAAGATAACTGAATTTTCTTCTCCCTTTATCCTTTAGGGAAGACAGAAGATAACTATATGGTGCCTATCGATGAAAATATTTAACAATAAAAAACTGAAAACACTGCTTTATAACTTAAATAATATAGTCTTACTACCAAATGTTTTAGTCATAGGATCTCTTGGAAGCTTGAATGGAAGCAAACTTGAGGGTTTTAATTATGGATGAAGCCATACAATTCTGGAAGCAAAGTGTAGCAAGCAGCCAAAAATGCTACACATATGATTTTACTCCAAATGGGCACATTGGCCAAATGGTGAGGCCCTACGCAGTTCCACACTTTGACCACCTCCTCCATAACCACCAAAAGAGTTCTGGGAAATCTGTCATCAGAGATAGAATTCTATGTGTTGACTGGAGCCTCATTAGGGCCAAATCAAACTGTTCTTGTTTTTATCATGTCTAATGGCTTGTAGCTGGATTGAAATACGTTGCAGGTACTTGAAGGATCTCCCTTCAAAAGCAGAAGATGGAAGATGAAAAAGTGTGTGCTTTACTTCAGACTTCTTCCACACAAAGGTGATCTTAATAGTTCTTCTGTACTGATTAGATTACCTGGTTGACTAAACATTTAGCTTAAGCAAACTTTCAATGTTCTACATTAAAATAAACCTGACTCCAAATGCAACTCACCTAACTAACATGGGTTTTAAAAAAATCACGCTACTCCCTTCTACTTGTTAATACAAACAAAGGAAGTACATAAATCAAACCTATGTCATTCACCTCAAACTTTTTGGGGAAGGTAGAAGAAATATTTATACTGAAGTTATGGAAACTTACCTTTAAAAGATTATGATTCCTTTTCAAAGCAGTTTCCATGGCTTGCAGCTGAGATGCCCTTTCTGCATTTTGGTCTTCTAATTTTTTCTCCATTTTTTGAAGCAACATTAATCTTTGTGATACTCTAGGAGGAAAAAAAATGAAGATTACATAAAGTTAAAAAGTATAAATTCTAGCACTTCATTGCTTGACTAAAAAAAAAAGTGCATGTTAAAACTGCACTCCATGCAACTCTGACCTATCTTGAAAGTCCACTATCATGTCTACTAGCAGAAAAAACTTAAGTAGTTTAGCAAGTCTTGAGTGAGTCTGGGTAAAATTATTTTTATTTTCATTAACATATCCTTTATATGTGCCATACGTACAGACTTCTGTTTTTTAGCCTCTCTGGTCTTTTGAAATTATTTTAGAGTGTTGAAGATATGTTTTAATTTTTAGTGAAAATGCAAACTGTAATACATATCCCCTTGTACACATAGTTATATATACCTCCCCACAGACATACATTGATAGAACTTGCTATATGAAACCTTCTGCTTAACACTTCAGTACCCCTGAATCTCATGTTACACATTTAGAATTGTGCTACACTTCCATATGTTTGAAGAAGCAATAAAAATATTTTTTCCCTCTTTTTCCAAGAGAAGGATGATGGTTTGATATATGACTGAGAGGCAATGTATATGTATGCATACTTGCAAGGTAAAACAGTAATCAAAGAAAGATGGGAAAGTTAGAAGTAAATTCTTAAAGTCTTTTTAAATTATATATGATACACTGCACGAGTTTCTTGCTGGTCAAAGGCTCACTTTACAAGTATTTGACCCTCTGAAGTGATTAACAGGAAAATGACAGACAATAAAAAGCACATTAGGGATGTATATAGAATAGCTGGTTTCCCAAATATTTGTGGAGGTTTCTCAAGAAATTCAGCATTTCAGAGGGCTTTCTTAAAGGTCAAATTAAAAACCCAGGTCTCTCATTAGTCATTCTTTGATAAGGAAAGACATCTAGAAGACCAATAGGAAGAGCATGTTAATTAAAAGAAAGGAAAATCTGAGGGCATAGAGAGACACAGGTTAATACTCAGCACAAGATCAGGATTGGCTATGCAGTTGGTGGAGCCTAATGACGTAAGGCATTGAAGCAGAACATGCAACCAACCACAGGGCCCTTGGAAGGTGACATCCGCATTAAGCTGGCCCTGGGTAAGGGCATTAGGAAAGTTCGTTGAATACCAAGATGGAACTGACAAAGTGTGAGAGAAAAGATATAAGGATATATGATATAGGTACAAGGAAAAAAAAAATGTAAAAAGACACACGACATGATTACATCCTTTAATTTTAGTTTCTAAGAAACCGTGAAGTTCACTAACTTCAAAATCTCGTCAATGTCAGGTAATCAGAATTAGAAGCTTTTACATTTTTCTGACTTCCTGTGCACACAATGTTTCACGGATAACAACTCATGTATTTGGATTGTCCTTGTTAAAAACACTTACATTTCTTCATGTCTTTTAGAAAGGCGAATTTCTTGAGTGAATAAGGAAGTCATCATTAACCAGAGCTGTGAACTAAGGACTCTCCTACGTAATAAAAACAGGTAAAGTTACTCTACCACATGTCCTCAGTTTTGCAACATTTGATCCTTTTAGTATCTCAAAACATTGTTTTTTCTCAGTAGAGAAAATAAAATGTATAAAAGAAAGCGTGTAACCACATTATTCTCATGTATAATTTTTCATATGCTAGATGTATACACCAAACACTAGGAGTTACGTAAAATCAACATATTTCATATTTCTCCCCCTTTTCCCCAGACTCTAACCTTCATCGGGATAAAAACGAAACAAGCAGCTGGTGCTAAGACTAGTAAACATTTTATTGTATCAACAGATAGGGGGGGAAAATCCACTCTGTAAAATTCAACACCCTCATTTATGCACGTGCACACACACAGAGAAAAGCAAACAAGTAAGAGGACCAACTGGAAAACTCGTGGTCTTCCCTTTACTGGAAGACTGCCCAGTCTCACCAGCTCTCTTCCAAACAGAAAAATGCTTTTTTCCCCCATGCATAACTGCGAGGAAAAGCGCAACAAGCTACCTTGATCCTATCCTGGCCACTCGGCTTTAAGCTAGCCCTGTAACTGAACACAGATCACCTGAAATGCTTTGAGGGTCACCCCTCCACACAAGGCACACCTCCCGGGGCGTGGATGTAAGAGTAGGAAGGTTCCTGCGCTGAGGGGAGACACAGACCAGCCTGAGAATCCCTTCGTGGAAGCAGGCTGTCCTAGATGGTGAGAACTGTAGGAAAGCGTTGGAGAGTCTTGAGCTGGTCCTTCAGCACTCACCAGGAGCCGGGGAGACAGCTGCGCTGCCCTGCCCTGCCCTACCCAGCCCTGCCCTTACCTGTCCAGCCTTGCCATGCCCTGTCCAGTCTTGCCCTGTCCAGCCCTGCCCTGCTCTGTCCAGCCCTGCCCTATCCAGCACTGCCCAGACTTGCCCTGTCCAGCCCTGCCCTGCCAGGTGAGCGCAGCCCTGTCCAGCCCTGCCGTGACCTGCCCTGCATGTCCAGCCCCTCCCTGCCCTGCCCTACCCAACCCTGTCCAGCCCTGCCCTGCCTTGCCCAGCACTACCCAACCCTGCCCAGCCCTGCCCTGCCTTGCCCAGCGCAGCCCTGCCGTGACCTGTCCAGCCTTGTCCAGTCCTGCCCAGCCTTGCCCAGCACTGCCCAGTCCTGTCCAGTCCTGCCCTGCCTTGCCCAGCACTGCCCAGCCCTGCCCAGCGCTGACCTCTTCCAGCACCGCGGACAGCAACCCGCGCCAGGCGAGCCCCGGGACACCGCAACGTCAGCGCACGCCAACCCTCCCCGGCTCCGCCAGGCGACCGCTGGAAACGCAGGAAAGTCAGCCCTGAGCAACTTTCCCGCCATGCCCGCCGCCAGCGCTTCAGACAACAACAAAATCCGCCCATTTTGCCTTGAAGATCCGCACAGGGTCACACTCAAACACAGCTCACAGCTCACCGGCCGTCCAACTCCCGCTAACACCCGAAGGGTTTATGAACCTTCTCCCTCCATCTGCCCAATTCCTGTCCCGCCCAGCCTCCTCCTCAGCAGCCTCGCGGACACCTGCGATGTCACCGTCCGACAGTCCAGGCGGCCACCGCGGGTGGACTTCATCCCCCAAACCCGCCTCGGAGCTCTTCCGGGCAAGCGCTGCCTAGTGCGCCTGCGCCGGGACCACCGCGGCGGGCCGGGGCGGAGTCGCGGCCTGTGCGCACGCGCGGCGCGTGATGACGTCACGGGCTGCTTATAAAGGACGGGCGCCTGGCGCGAAAAGCGAGTGGGTTGCGGCGCCTCGCTGGAGCGGCCGGCGGACGTCGGGGAAAGGGCCGTGCGGTAGGTTGCTCGGTTTTAACTGGCACCTGCGTATGTTATGAGGCAAGCAGGTGCTAAGGGAGCGGCTTCCTCCGTCAGGTCTCCGCCGGCGCCGTGTCTACACGTGCGCTCCCGTGGATGCCCCACTCGCGGGGCGGCGGGATAGGGAATTCCTCCTCGTCCTCCGTTTACGGGGCAGGCAGGAAGTTGTGGTGGTTCGTGGAGCTGTTTGCTGGAAGCCAACAGGGCCTTAGCTTCTCCTACACACTTGGTAATAATCCCCCAGCGTCTTAAAAGCACCTGCGTCGGCAGTTACCCCTTCCATGCCTGGTAGTCCCTCGTGTGGTGTTTTATTGGTCCTTCAGTTTTACGGAGCAGGAAGCTGAGTGTCGGGAGAGACTGTTGTCTTGCTAGAGATTATTCAGTCGGTACAGTCGGTCTCCTCTTGGTATGTTTGCAGAAAGCTGGGGTATTAGACTCCATGGTCCTTCGTGTTCCTCCACTTTGAAAGCCCTGTCAACACACACTTAGAAATGTAAAGTGGCCAGACCTTTCGGCCCTAATTGAAAGACCCCCGCCACCTGGCTCGCTGCTGGCTTTCCCCCACCCCACCGGAACGTTTGCGTCGACGGTTGTTGTTTCGTTTATCAGTGCACGAACCGCTAGAATTTGTATTTTGTGTGAACAGGTATTTCGTTTTTAAAAGATTGATTTATTTTCATTGGTTCACTCCCCAAATGGCCAGAGTGGTTGGAGCTGAGCTGATCCGAAGCCAGGAGCTTTTTTTTTTTTTTGCCTGCTGGGTGCAGGGTCCTACTGACCTGAGCCATCTTCCACTGCTTCCCCAGGCTGGAAGCAGGGAGCTGGATTGGAAGATGGGAAGTAGAGCAGCCGGGACATGAACCTGTGCCCCTATGAGATCCTGTTGCTTGGAGATGGGGACTAGCCAGTTTGCGCCTTACTTGGAAATGGAGGGTTGGGTCATTGCACCAGATCTCTGTCTCTGAATTTATTGAAGGCCAGGTGGGTTAAGCTGCTTGCAGTGGTGCCATACCATAGTGTAGTGCTGGTTTGAGTCCCAGCTACTTTGTTTCCTGTCCAGCCCGGTGCTAATGTGCCTGGGAAGGCAGCAGAAAATGACCTGTATAACCTGGATTTCTGTCCTTGTGGGAGACAGAGTTCCTGGCTCCTGGTATGGTCCGTCCCTGTCGTTTTTATGCATTGAAAAGACCTCTCTCTGTGTGTCTTTCTCTCTCTCTCTCTGCCTTCCAAATAAATAATATTTATTTTGCAAGGTGGAAAGGCAGATCTCTTATCCACTGGTTCACTCCCCTGATGCCCGCAACAGCGGGAATTGAGCTGTGCTGAAGCCAGGAGCAAGGAACTTGATCCAGGTTAGCCATGCAGGGGCGCAGCTTCTGGAGCCGCTATTTACTGGAGTATTTGTTAGCAGGCAGCTGGGATCAGCAACAAACTCAGTCCCTGGCAATCACCCCTACATGGAATGCAGGCTTCCCAGGTGGCATCTCAATAGCTAGTTAAAGCCCTGACCCTCTTGGCCTCTCCTTGATTGCTTTAAGTACCCCCAGCCCCAGGGGTGCCTGACGCAGAGTATAGTAAATATTTCTGAAGTGAGATACCGTCCCAAATGAAATTTTACCCTTGTAATTGTGAGCTTTGTTTTCACTTGCTGAGACCAGTTTAATTGATGGAGTATTTATCACGCCGCTTAGTAAAAATGACCCTTGAACGGTCTTATGTTCTTGGAATACAGTAGAATTTTTGTGTGTTTACAAGGCAGTCTCGTCTCTTTCTCTGAAGTTGGTGATGAATTGCATGAAATAGAGATCTGAGGAGCTGCACGTGAAGGCACTTATGTGTTAAGATAAATTTTGCTTCTGTCCTCCTCTGTGTGGAGTTTGCATAGTACTGCAGTAGAAAAAACCAGCTTTTTCTGCTCTGGCCTTTTCGGGTCATTGTCGGCTTTAGAAAACCAAGGACTACTTTTGGAAATAGTCTTGAGATTTTTTTAAGCGAAGAGTACCTAAATTTACCTAAATTACCACTCTTCGGAGTACCGTGGAGGTGTTTTTTCTATGCTTGTCTGTAGAGCTATGCTATGGTAGCTCTTTTGTTTTGTGGAGTATTTTATGGGAGACTGTCGGGTGAGACACCTGGATGATGAGGAATTCTATGACAGGTCCCAATGACTCTGGCTTCTGCATTTCTTAGGTAAATTTAGGTACTTTCTGGAGTGAGTCACTCATGGCCTATCAAGCAAATTGTTGCGACCTACCAAGTAACACTGGCACAGGATGGGATAGTCTGCAAGTGTGTAGTGAAGTCGATGTTTCCTAATTCCTGGGCCTTTTCTTGCACCAGCATACTTATTGTCTCTTAAACCTGCAGTTGTTCCTTTATTCTCATAATTTAGGAAGTATTGTCATATGTTCTATAAAGATGTGTTTATTAAGCTTCTGTAATGCATAGTCTTAGTCCCAGCACAATAGCCTAGTAGCTAAAGTCCTCACCTTGCACGCACTGGGATCCCATATGGGTGTTGGTTTGTTTTCCGGCTGCTTCACTTCCCATCCATTCTGCCCCTGTCCTGGGAAAGCAGGATGGTCAAAAGCCTTGGGATCCTGTACCAATGTGGGAGACCCAGAAGCTCCTGGCTCTGATTTTGGATTGGCTTAGCTCTGGCTGTTGCAGCCACTTGGAGTGAACCAGCAGATGGAAGATCTCTCTGTCCTCCTTTCTGTAAATCTGCCTTTCCAGTAAATTTTTTTTTCTGATAAATCTTAAAAAGAATATAGTGTTTTCTTAAGAGCACAGTATGGATGACTTTTTGTTTTGTTTTCATTTGTAAAGATTGATTTAAAAGCAGAGTGACACAGGGAGAGAGGGGTCTTGTATCCATTGGATTATCCTGATATCTGCAACAGCTAGAGGTAGGCCAGCCCAAAGCTGCGGACTTGGGCTGTCATCCAGTGCCTTCCAGGTGTCGGGAGCAGGAGGCTGGATGGCAAGCACAGGGTAGCTGGGGTCCAACCAGACACTCTGGAATGGGCTGTTGGCATTGTAAGTGACATTTAACCTACTCTGCCACGATGTTGAAACTTGGCTGAGCTGTTAAGAGAATAAAATGGATTAATACCGGTGTGTCCTCATTTTGTTCCTTCACATAAATTATTTGTCATAACGTGAGCAAAGGTACTGGACTCTCACTGTCCCCATTGCTTGTTAAAAGATTTATTTATTTTTTTGGAAGGGCAGATTGACTGAGGAAAAGGTCTTCCATCTGCTGGCTCACTTCCCAAAGGGCTGCAGTGTCAAGAGTTGAGCCGATGCGAAGCCAGGAGCGTCTTCTGAGTCTCCCATGTGGGCTCAGGGTCCCAAGGCTTTGGGCTGTTGTCCACTGCTTTCCCAGGCCACAAGCAGGGAACTGGGTTGGCAGTGAAGCAGCTGGGACATGATTCTGTGCCCAAATGGGATGTCTGCACTTTCAAGGGAGAGGAATAACTAATTAAACTGTTGCACCGGGCCCACTAGCCCTAATTTTAAAGCTGAGGGAATTGAGAAAATGATTTCAGATCACATGACTAGTGAGCAAAACTCTAGCTTGTCGGGTGTTAGTGTGATTGTGTGGATTCAGAGAATGTGTATTTAAGAAATGTCCTGTGTGTTGTGAGGGTATTAGGAGAGCCCTGTAAGCTGGAATAGTGTCGACAGCATTCTGGAGAACTGGGACAGGCTTTGGGAATGAGTGGGTGTGGAACTGGCTGTAATTGTGACGGGCTCTCAGGTGCTGGGAGAGTGTGATGATGGGGTGTTCTAAGTGGAAGAAGCTGGGTGCATAGACCTGCGCACGAGAGCTCAACCTCAGGAAAGGAAGGTGGAAAATGTGTTTTATTTTTCCCAAATTTTGAAGGAGCAATTTCTGTTGCTAGAGAATTTGGAAGTGGAGGTTTGACAGTAGTGGAGGGAATAATTGGAGAAGGTGAAACTGTAGAGGAGAAATAAGGACAAAACAGGGAAATTTGTGTGTGAGAAGGAACAAGGTTTAAAGGCATGAAACAGGGAAAAAGCATGGCAGAACCCTTGACTGAGTTACTGGCCGTAAATGCTGTCACAGTTCATTTAGGAGCCATCTTTTCAGACCCTCCTGGATGTGGGGAAGTACTAACTTGGCTAAGGACTTAGGACTAAAATGGGGTTGGGCTTTGTCCCTGTTTCAGGAATCGGTCAATGTGGATCTGATGAGCTGCTTTTCTCCTTGGAAATTATGGAAATTTTATTTGTTGCATATTTGTGCTCTGTTCATTTTAGCATTGAGAACTAGTCTGCACTCACAGTGAATCTGAACTGCTTTACATTGGCCCTTGGTGAATTTTGACCAGAGCAAATTTTAACCAGATACGTTTTTAGGAGTCTTTGAGAAGTGAAACAGGTGTCAATCTAGATCCATTGACATAATGTGCTGCGCTAGGGAAGTCATTATCACAGCTGGGGCCTGGGTTAGAGACATGCTTAGCTGAGAAAACACGTCTTGCTGATAAAGCTCTAGAGATTTCCAATGAGAATTTGCACATGTCTGTTTCTTCCTTGGGAGAATAAAGTAAAAGCCTCTCTAGTGTTGAAATTCACTTAAACATCAGAGTTCTAATGAGAACATGTTAGTTTTAAGGAAATTGTTTGTGTATTGTGTGTATAGTAAATATATATATATATATGCTTCCGCCTTGCAAATTCCCTTAATGTAAAGCTCACACAGTCCTTTTGTCTTACAGCAGCACATCTCTAGCTATGTTAATTTATGCAAGTTTGTGTT